AGTGATAGATTCACATTTCAGATCTGACCTATGCCCCTTGTGGTGTACACCTGTCAGACTCATGGCTTCCTATCATCTTTTGAACGGCCTGTCTACACCTGGCAGAAATTCCAATTATTTTAAGTCTTGCCTTCCCAAGGAAGGAGTTCAGACTCCCAATCTCATTCTCCTTTGTAGCCAGGACTCAGACATGGGACTCGATCTCCCTCAAGCAGATGCATCCCTATGAGCCTTTGATTTAGATGTGAGCAAAGTGAGGAAACAGGTTCTTTTGGAAGCCTGGCATTTTGTTGGTGCAGGAGGCTGCAAAAACATGTGGCATATGAAGGTGGCAGCCATTCCACAGTGGTTCCTGTCAGGGTGACAGTTTCCTCCGGGGCCGGGTGGGGCAGCAGCAGCAATCCCAATCATGACAGTTTCCTCATCAGGGCAGTTCTGCAGCGTGGTTGAGTTCCATTTCTGGAATTATCCAGGAACCACTTCTTTAGTCCTCCCCGAAATTCCCTGAGCTATCCAGAATCCTTTTAAACATGTTCCTTTTCTTCTTAGCCAAAGCTAGTCTCTATTGCTCAGAAGTAAGCAACGTCTGATAAAGAATCCTCTGCTTAAAACTCTTCATTGACTTCCCAAACATTCTAGAATGTGTCCCAAATCCTTTGCTCAGTTCAAGGCTCTTCTTTATCTGAGATGTACACAGTGTCTTTCTCTCTGACCACATCTTCTGTCTTTCTCTCAGGACCTGAGCCACCCTGGTCCTGCCACCCTTCCTCAATCTCATATTCCTTGCCAATCAAGAACCCTACTGGCACAACCCTTCTCTAGGTACCCCTGTGCCCAGCACTGTTCTGATCTCTATCATAAACAAAACACTTATTATGCTCTACTACAAGAATTGACTCACTCAGCTGTTAACTCTGCACCGGTAGGAACATGCCTTTTCCGTTCTCTGAGACCCCAGCACCTGGAATAGTATCTGTCAGAAAGTCGGGTGTCCAACACGTGCTTATTTCATGAAGGTCAGGATGTGGACAAGTACTGCCACCTAGTGGAAGAAACTTCATTTGACTCTTTTATTATAGTTTGGACAACCGGCTATCATACAAAGATAAGATTTTAAGATTCTCCAAGGTATCATCATCATCATCACTGTCAGACCCTCAAGGGTAGCGGGCCTCCCACGTGGGTCCCGATGATCCCTGTCTATTGGTATTCATGCCTTTGGATTGATCCTCCCACACTGACGGGTTGGTTAGCATGACAGAAGTGATGTGTGACTTCCGAGGCTGCATCACAAAAGACATTGTAGCTTCTGATTTGGTCTCTCTGGGATCACGTGTTCTGAGGGAAGCCAGATGCCATATCCTGGGGACACTCAAGAGGTCCGTGCCATGAAAAACAGGCCTCCTGCCAACGGAACTGTGAGTGAGCTTATCCTGCAAGCAGGTTTTCCAGCCTGAGTCAAGACTTCAGACAAATGCAGCCTTGGCCTGCATCTTGACTGCAATGTCACGAGAGACGGAGACAGAACCACCCAGCCACTCCATGCCCAAACTCCTGATGTACAGAATCTACAGGACAATAACTGTTCGTTGTTTTAAGCTGCTAAGCTTTGGGGTGACTGCTATGCAGCAGATTACTACTATACCCTCTGATATAGGTGACGGACTAAAAGCTGTTTCATATTTTGCAGTAACACGAGGAAACTACCAGAGCCTGGGCTCAACCTAAGGCTTCTCGGAACAGATGCCTGCCGCTGGAGCTGGGCGCCACGGAGGAAGTGGGGTAAGAACCAGGCACGCCTGGGCCTTGCGGAGGGGCGAGTCACATACTGCGCAGCCTCTCTCTCGGCGCTAACATTCTCCACGCACGCCCGGAAGGGGTCGGCACGGCCCGGCCGCAGAATAGCGGCTACCATCGCCTAGCTCGCTCGCCGCGGCAGTCTCGGCGCCTGCGCATTGTGGTCCTCCCGCTCCCAGGCGGCGCCGTTGCGCGCCGAGTCACCGATCGCATGAAGCCCAGCGGCCTGGGTTGGCGCAGGCCGCCAGCCGCCCGCTCGCCGGGTGGGCTCCAGGGGGCGCCCTCAAGAGAGGGGCGGGGCGCTCAAGTTCCAGAGACCGGCCGGCAGGGGCCGTGGCGGGGCCTTCACTCCGCTGCTCCTCGGCACCCCTACGGCTCCGGTGGTTGCCGCTCCGGGCCCTACGCCGCGCCGTCGTCACCGTCGCCGCCACCGCCTCCGGGCCTCCGGGCCCTACCGCCGCCGCCATGAAGCTACGGGTCCGGCTGCAGAAGAGGACCTGGCCGGTGGAGATGCCAGACGCGGAGCCGACGCTGGGGCAGCTGCGCGCGCACCTCAGCCAGGCCCTGCTGCCGTCGTGGGGCTTCAGGTAGGCGGGGGGTGGGGGGGCGCGCCCGCCCCGGGCTGTCACGTGAGGCCGGGCGACAGCGGGGCGTAGCGGGTCCGGGACTGTGACGCGCGCAGGCCGGGCGCGGCGCGGGCGCTGGGGCTGCAGCTCGCCGGCTCCCGGCTCGCGGAGGACATGGCCCGGCGTCCCGGGGGCTCCGTTCCCCTGCAGGGTGAGCCCTCGCTTCGCTTCTGCTGCAGAAGAAACCGGGGACGTGCCGGGGCGCAGACTTCTCGCGCCCTTTTAAAGTGTGAAATTGGAAATGAGGGGTTTGGTGTGGGGTAGATCTCTCCAGGCTCTCTGGGATTTAAGTTCACCGTCCCCAGCTGTCGCAGTATTCCAAGGGAAAAGTCTGGAAAGTTCTAGAAGTTAGAAACCGGCCCTCCGTCGAGGCCACCTGTGAGCGGGCCGGTGCTGGGGCCGCGGTAACCTCGAGGCCGCTTTGAGTGCTCACGTGCTGGGCCGCAGCGAGCACTTTGGCTTGCCCTCCTCAGAGTTTTAACAGACTGCGGGCGGTCGGCATTTGTCATCTCCTTTTACTTCCCTGGGCGAGATGTTGTGTTTTTGCCAAAACTAAGATAAACGTTGGCCTTGGGATGTCCCTGGAGAGCTTGCAGACAGTGACATTGAGAAATTAAGGATCAGATTTTGCTATTATGAGGTTGCGAGTGAGATGGCTTTGCTTCCAAGGGAGAATTTTCTGGGGACAGTAAACTGGGAGTAGAGGGACAGAAATAAGGGTAGTCCTTTTCCCTTGCTGAGCTAGCAGATTTGGAATTTGAGTGTGCTAAGAAAAAATAAACGTGTTCGCTGGGGCTTTTTAGGTGAATTGTTCATAAGAAGACCTTCCTCTTAATTAAGTGGATCCTTTTTATAAGACTTACATACTTTCATTTGGGGGCAATTCAGTAAAATGAGGCCATATTATGAACTTCTCACCCTTTCATTTTTCAGGGTAAAACACCATATTAAAAGTAAGGCTGTTTTTCTCCAAATTAAAAATGAGGGTGTTGACATAATAACTTTTGAACATTATGTTAAGTGACATGCCTGTTGTTATTTATTGGTGTTAAAACCTAAGCGTTTTGTATGCTGGTATCATTAGCCCACCAGACAATTTCAAAAGTAACTTCTTCCTAAAATATTTTTCATATATATGTGTATATTTATTATTATTATTTTAATTAGGAGAGACCGTCTTGAAAGGACTATTTATCTAAGAGCCCAAGTTAGTTTCTCCTTTGGGTTTGTTTTTACAGTTGAGGCTGGTTAACTGGAAGGAATGTAAGCTTCAGCTTGTGAAAGTAAATTTGTTCTTCCGAAAGTATGTTCATTTTGTAATAAATAGGCAGTTTTAAAATACGTCCCTGTGACATTATTATTTTTAAAATGTCTTCTCTGAGCAAGTGGATCTGGGATTGCCATAAAATATCTTTAAAAGGCTTGGTGTTTCTAGGATGGCTTTTCCTGATGGATTTAAATATTTCTTCAGTTTCAGAACACCAGTTTTTAATTCCTCCCCTGGAAAGCTCTATGTTACTTTAGAAATAGCTCTTCCCTTTTTCTAAAGGTTGGGGTGGGGGGAAGGCCAGCATTTTTATTAATGACACAGTTCTTTAGTTTTTCTACAGGGAGATGTTTGAATGAACATTGTATTAGATACTATTTAAAAAAAAAAAAAACACTTTTGCTGTGACAGAAGATCCGTAAGAACATAGTTCATTTGAAGTGTGTTTCTTTTTTTCTGCTGAAGTCGGGATGGTGTTTTTTGAGGCATCTGGCAGATGTTCAACATTCTTTGAAAACAGAAACACAGCTACTTATTTTCTGATAAGCAGGAGTAGGTTCTAGAACTTCAGTAATTTCTCTACCAAAGGTACTTTAATTGGTAAGAAAAAAATGTACTTGTGAAAGAAAAATGAATTGTGAACATTTGTGAAAATGCAGCATTGTAAGAATAAATAGAACATGATTTTCAAAGAACTTCATCCTTGGTTAACCTCTCAAAAAGTTAATGAAGTCAGCATTGCTGAGTATAAATGTCTTGTAAAAAGTTCTGCAATGGTTTGTTAATTACCCCTCACCACTTTGTGGTGAAATGATGGTTATTCTTTCAAATCAGGTAGTCTGTGATGTGAAGGGATGAGAGTTCATTGCTTCGGGCTAATTTGAGCTCTTAGCTTGTTTAACAGTGAGTTTTTGGATTTGTGCTATTCTTACTATATAAAAGGTTATCAGTAAGAAAGGTGACCTTGTATTTATCAGCAGGAGGGATGTATTTTGTACTCATCTTTTTGTGATTGTGAATATTCATTTAAGACGTGGGTCTAGTATTTTGGAGCAGATATAAGCTGATTGTCCTGTAAGAACACTGACTAGGAAACCCCGATTTCAGTTTCATTTTCATTTTCCCAACTACTCTTTATTGGTTGCGTTTATTCCATTAATACTTTTATTTGTCAAGAGCTGGAGATACAGTTTTGAACTAGATAGATGAGATACCTGATGTTATGAAGCTTAAATTCTGGTGGTGGGGGTGGAGGAGAGATGGTCAATAAATATGGAATTTTCACATAGTGATGTTACAATAAAAATAAAACATAAAATGGAATAGAGTGGTGGAGGTTAGGCAGAAGGCATCTCTGTAAAGATGGCATTTGAATTGAGACAGAATGATGAGAGTCAGTCCTTTGAAGATCTGGAAGAGTAAATGCAGAGGCCCAGAGGTTGCAATGAGGTTGATCTGTTTTGAGAAACGGGATGGAAAGCTTATGTTAATAGGGAACAGTAAAGAGAGGCTGGAGGAGATAGGAGAAGTGGGTAGGGGGTCACATGTTGGGCTTTGGAGGCCATGTTAAAGATTCCATTCCAAGTTCAGATACAAGTCACTGGAGGAGGATTTTGAGCAGAGGAATCATGTGACATAGTTTGTATTTTATTTTTAAATTTTTTAATTTTTAAAATGTTTAGTTTTGAGAGAGTGCAAGCAGAGGAGGTGCAGAGAGAGAGGGGAATAGAGGATTTGAAGCGGGCTCTGTGCCGACAGCAGAGAGCCCGTTGCAGGACTTGAGCCCACAAACTACGAGAACATGATCTGAGCCAAAGTTGGATGCTTGACTGACTGAGCCACTCAGGCACCCCTCATAATTTTCAAAAGAGTGTATTTCCTTGACTCTCAGATACTGTCATTCTTAAGATGCGTATTGTTTTATGTAACACTAAAGGAAAAAAAATGTCAGTTAAGCTGTGATGTGTTATGAGTTTTAAGAAGCATCCCTGTTTCAAAGATATCCAAGTTACAAAGGATGTAAAGTGTGTTATCTTAGAATTGATGAAAACATGGATTAATGATAGAGAGTTACTGTATCCTATCACTCAGGCTAGAATTGTAGCCGTTAGAAATCTATAACTTAGGCACTTGGTGATAACAAATAATTTTGATATTTTTTGTAAAACTTTGGCTTCCTTTTTATTTTTGGTTTGTTTTTGTTACTTATTTCTTCTAGGACTATACCATGTATCTTATATATGTTCCTAGTGTATTGAAGGTAATGGTAGCTATGGGTAATGGTAGGTAGCTCTTACTATCCTTATCCATCTTTCTTGGCAGTTCTGATACCCGGTTTGCAATCACATTGAACAACAAGGATGCCCTCACTGGAGATGAAGAGACCTTGGCTTCATATGGGATTGTTTCTGGGGACTTGATATGTTTGATTCTTGAAGATGCCATTCCAGCACCTAACTTACCTTCATCCACAGATTCAGAGCATTCCTCACTCCAGAATAATGACCAACCCTCTTTGGCCGCCAGCTCCAATCAGTCCATCGTACAGGATGAACAACCAAGTGATTCATTCCAAGGACAGGCAGCCCAAACTGATGTCAGGAATGATGAAAATATGGTAGGTATTAACATCAAGATGAGAAAAGGGGTAATTGATAAAGGACACTGAACACCTCGATTGAATTCTGTATCAGGGTAATTATTGTTAGTAGATTGCGGATCGTGTTCTTGTAGAAATTTTTAAACTGCTAAATGGTTGGACCATCCGAAGAGCCCAGTGTTTACCTATTTATTTTGTTCAGACACTCACTCCTTCAGATGGTTTGTCCTTTGGCTCCTGTTGTTGCCTCTGAGCTCATGATTCCCAGCCTAGCTTCTCTGGTCTGCTCCACCCATTAAGGCTATATAGAGTGCAGTTATTTCCAAATTGTTTGCAGGACATTTATACCTGGATTTTAAACGTTGTTACTTCAGACTCTGTGCCAACATAAATTTGGAAATATGAACTAATGTTCTCTTCCCAAACCAGCTGCCCTTTCTCTCAGTGGCACCACTGTTTTCCTGAGCTTAAAACCCTGGAATGATTTTTGTCTACTTCTATCCAGCCCCTTAACAAGCCCTGTCAGTGTTTCCTTTCCATTCCAGGCTTCCAGTGTCTGTCCTTCGGTCTATTTTCTGCGTTCATCTTTTCCCGACACGGTTTTGACTTTGTTGTTCCCTTGTTCTGTAGTAGCTGTGTGTCCTTGATACACCAGTGCTTACAATTTTTGAGCTGAAAAAGTCCAAATATTTCTAACCCTGTCATGCTACAGAGGAAGGAAATGCTGTCCCTAGTCTTTAAGGCTTTTCAGGGCCAGTTTCTGTTCTTCCCTCAGTAAACTGTCACTTGCAGTCAGATCAGAGTCCTTATCATTTTCCCTGTGCCATCCAGCACATTCATGTGTTTGTGCACGTACACACACACACACACACACACACACACACACACACACACAGACTGGTGACTGCTTCATGTCTTTGCTCTTGCCATTCACCTAGCCTGGAATGCACGGCCTTTCCTACCTCTCCTGTCTCTGCCCATCTTCCAAGGCCCTGCCAGCCACAGCCCCAATGATCATCTTTAATTTCTTTATCGATCATCTGTATTGCCTTGTAAACACCCCCTTAGTGATTACCCTGCCTTTTGATTTCTTGTGTGGCACAAATGATGAAATTTATTACTGAATTTTTTTAATACTAATACATATGCAATCATGTTAATTGTTTTTTGTGTGTATACTTACTACTTAAGCTTAGTTGTTATTTTGGTTTTTTTTCAGGCTTTAAACACTTATGAATATAAGTATTCATTGTGCCTGTAACCTCAATAAGTATAGACAGTTACTAAGAAGAAATGCTTTTTAATAGATTGGTAATATGTTGAGATTTTTAGTAATAGAATATAGAGAAATTAAGCAATTTTAACAAGGCTTTATAAAGCTCAGAGTGTTTTTATGATTTTTTTTTTAGGAAGTATTATGTATCTCTGTGTTTCTGTCTCATGGAGGTAATTTAGGGAATAAGTAAGAATACTTAGTTACATATTTAAATTATATTTCTGAATCATCTTTGCTGTTAGACACATTCAGAGATTCTGGTGGAAGGGTCCATTCCTTTTATTTCTGTATACTTATAAAATTGTCCAGTAAGATGGAACTTTTCATAATATATGTGATATTTACTAGTTTCCTTTTGAAAAATTTTGAGAAATTAATATTGCTTCAAGTTAGTAATTCTAGTTCTAAACGCGTGTTGTTTTGTATTCTCAGACTTGTATAGGGTGACTAAGCTTGTAATCTTGAAGTAAGTAAGCTTGAAATCTCCTAAGTGTGCTTCAAGTACTTGAAACAGTATGATCTGCTCATTAAATGTAGAATGATGTATTAGAAAAGGAAGATAGACAGGTGCCTGGGTGGCTCAGTCGGTTAAGCCTCAACTTCAGCTCAGGTCATGATCTCGCGGTTTGTGGGTTCGAGCCCCATGTTGAGGAGCCTGGAGCCTACTTCAGATTCTTATTAAAATTCTGTGTTTCCATCTCTCTCTGCCCTCCCCTGCTCATGCCCTGTCTTTCAACAACAACAACAAAGGAAAATAGATGGGTAAAACTGGAAACAATAGGAAAATTTTACTTGTAAAATTTGAAAATTAAGTGTAATTTTCTTATTTTCATTTATTTGGGAATTCTAGTACCTGTTGAATCTTTAAGGGAAATGGGAATAATGTGGTATCAGACTCTAATATTAGCCCTAAAGTGCATTTTAATCACCTATTGCCATCATTTGTATATGACATGACAAATGATTTATTTAAAGAGGTGGTGTTGTGGGGTGCCTGGGTGGCTCAGTTGGTTAAGCTTCTGACTTCGGCTTAGGTCATGATCTCACAGCTTGTGAGTTCGAGCCCTGCATTGGGCTCTGTGCTGACAGCTCAGAGCCTGGATCCTGCTTTGGATTCTGTGTCTCCCTCTCTCTCTGCCCCACCCCTGCTCATACTCTGTCTCTCTCTCCTTCAAAAATAAATAAACATTAAAAAAATAAAGAGGTGGTGCTGAGCATTTTCCTCCTGATTTCCACATGTATGAAGAATATCATAGATATTTCATATCCTATCAGAATGGCTCAGAATGTTAATGGTTGTTATGGAGTGGGAGTTGGGTTTGATAAGCTCACCAGGGAGTTCTGATACCTTCCTCCCATGGCTTTATCAGTTTAGAGTAACTCTTTTTTTTTTTATTAAAACAATTTTTTTTTCAACGTTTATTTATTTTTGGGACAGAGAGAGACAGAGCATGAACGGGGGAGGGGCAGAGAGAGAGGGAGACACAGAATCAGAAACAGGCTCCAGGCTCCGAGCCATCAGCCCAGAGCCTGACGCGGGGCTCGAACTCACGGACCGCGAGATCGTGACCTGGCTGAAGTCGGACGCTTAACCGACTGCGCCACCCAGGCGCCCCTAGAGTAACTCTTTTTAAAAATATTTTCTCCACATAGATTCTCTCCCACACAACCATCAATAGTAGCAAATGGCCCAAAGTTAGGTATAGTAGATAAGTAAGATGCAAAGCGCTTATAGGCTTCATAATTTTGGTGATAAGTGGTTTTAATAAGTAGTTTCTGTTTGCCTAGAAGTATTATGGAGCCTCCTTTTTTTGGTAGTATGAATTGTCATTGGCCTCTAGGTTTTAACCGTGAATTTGGATCTTTTTCATAAGCCAATAAGGGCTATGTCCTCAGGGATTCTAGAGGAACTGCCTCTTGCTTTCTTATATTTTTCCATCCTTTCATTTATTCTATGTAATTTTAATTTCCTCTGCCCTTTCTTTAATGGAACGATGATCTTGAAGAAACATGTGTTTTGCATTAAGAGTTGAGCACATGCTTAGGAGACAAACTTTCTGAGCAAAATTAATACAAGTAACATAGTCTTATTGAAGCAGTGTATTGTGTCTGAAAGCCTGAACTGTGAGTCTGGAGATCTTGGTTCATTTCAGGTTTTTATTAGCTGGTAACCTTGATTGTGTTACTTAATCTGAGTCAGTTACAGCATGTATGAAAAGGCAACATCATCTGACTTTACTGTTTTATAGACTTTTTTATGGTACAAATGAGAAGACACTGAAAACAAAACCAAATTATGAAATTTTAAGATACTGTTCTTAAGCATTGGTTCAACAAGCATTTGTTGAGCACCTGCTGTGTGCCAGGTACTGTATTGGGATTAGAAAAGTGTGTGACATGTAGTCTGTTCCTTTTTTTTTTTTTTTTTTTAATAATTTATTTTTGAGAAAGAGACAGAGTGTGAGCAGGGGAGGGGCAGAGAGAGGGAGACCCAGAATCTGAGTGCCTGAAGCAGACTCCAGGCTCCGAGCTGTCAGCACAGAGCACAATACGGGGCTCGAACCCACGGACTGTGAGATCATGACCTGAGCTGAAGTTGGACGCTTAACTGACTGAGCCACCCAGGCATCCCTACTCTGTTCCTTTCTAAGCTTGCAGTCGTGGTAGGATATAGGTGTGAAATCAGGAAAGTGCAGTAGTCAAGGCCTTTGCAAGTCAGGGTGGTAGTCTGTCTGTACTGCCTCTTTTGCAGAGGTGGGGAACACTGGCGTGGAGAGGAAGGGGCTGGCAGGAAGTGGGCTTGAGAGTCAGGGATCTGATGAAGTGATGAAGGACCTTGTATGCTAAGGCGTTTAGGAGTTGGGACTTCATTTTCTAGGCCTGCATCTCACAGCATGTCCTCTATGAAACACTTCTTCCCTTAGATTATAAGTAAGTGTTCTGAGGATGCTGGGTACTAAGGAAGGAGAGTAGTGTTTCTTGGCTAAATATTACACACACATTATTATTGTTGGACTTCTCAGAGCTCTGTAATGCCACGATGTATTTTGTGAATGTGGAGGGTGAGGTTCGGTGCCTATAGCATGTAGTATTTTCCAAACTGAATTGATTGTAGACCTCTTTTTTCCTGAGGACATCTAGGGTCACATCCCAAGGCACAATTTAGGGGAATGCTGCGATCTGCACTGGGGAAATACTGGCAAGTTTTAAGCTTGGTTATGGGACGTAATTGGATTTTTAAAAAAGATTATGTATGTATGTGTTTTGAGAGGGAGCCCATGTAAGCAGGGTTTGGGGGTGCAGAGAGATTGGGAGGGAGAAAATCCCAAGCAGGCTCTCTGCTCAGAGCACAGAGCCCGACACGGGGCTTGATCCCACAAACTGTGAGATCATATATAACCTGAGCTGAAACCAAGAGTCAGATGGTTAACCGACTGAGCCACCCAGGCCCTCCCATAAGTGGATTCTTAATTGTCGGAAACTCTCGCAGCAGTGGGTGTCTTGGAAGACAAAACGGAGTCAGGGATCCTTGGGGAAGCTATTGCTGGATGTCAAGAGGTAAATGAGTCTAAAGTACCACTGGAGTAGTAGGGGCAGATTTTAGAGGTATTTTGGACATAGATTCAGTGGAACTTTGATCACGACGAAAGTAGAGTTTAGTGAGGTAGAGGGAGGAGGCTAGGTTGATTTCCGGTTTTTGGCATACTGGCCAGGATGAACGGAGGTAAGGAATTCAGGATGGGGGAATAGATTGCCAGCTCATTTATTTAGGAGGGCTCACTTAAAATGTGTCCCATTTCTTTTTTTTTAATTTTTTTTATTTAAAAAAATTTTTTTTCAACGTTTATTTATTTTTGGAACAGAGAGAGACAGAGCATGAATGGGGGAGGGGCAGAGAGAGAGGGAGACACAGAATCAGAAACAGGCTCCAGTCTCCGAGCCATCAGCCCAGAGCCTGACGCGGGGCTCGAACTCCCGGACCGCAAGATCGTGACCTGGCTGAAGTCGGACGCTTAACCGACTGCGCCACCCAGGCGCCCCAAAATGTGTCCCATTTCTGAAGCTAATAACATGCTTTGGCTTTGGGCACTAATCTGAGTTCACTTCAGGATACACAATAAACTGTAAAAATAAAAGTCTATTTAATGAATTCATTGATTTGTTATCTTTTTCAGTCGGGGCCTAGCCAGACTTTTGAAACTGAGTCAGTTCAAGATGTTGTGGCTATGGAAGAGGGCACAGGTGTCTGTCCCTCAGAACCGATGCTCTGCAGTGAGTCGGTGGAGGGGCAAGTGCCACATTCATTAGAGGTCCTGTATCACTCAGCCGACTGTTCCAGTCCCAGTGATGCCCTGATAGTGTCAATACATCTGCTCATGCTGGAGTCAGGTTACATACCTCAGGTGAGGCTACAAACAGAATACATCGTGTTGGGGTTTCAGCCTCCCATTGGGGATGGGAGTGTACTAACAAACATCACTAGGGTGTTGTGGAACTCTAGATCTCTATATTAAATGCAGTTGAGTGTTAAATGTAAAGTGCTGAATGCAGTGATGGGTATACAGTAGGTGGTCAATAAACATTCCCTCTCTTTTTCCCTTCATTTCTGTTGTCAGTTTTGTCAGTTTGTATTATAGAAGTGGTGGCAATTATGGTAAAAAGATTATGATAATATGAAATGAACTGTGGTCAAGAGTGTGGGGCAGGCATGTCTAGAGGGATGGCTCACTGGATTATTTTTTATGTTAATGGCTTTGAATTGTCAGTAATCTAGTAAAGATTCAGTTAGGAAGAGGGACATTATTCCCTTCATTCATTCATTCTCTGTTTGGTAAGTATCTACCACTGACAGGTACGGTGCTTTGTCCCTGCTCTCAGGTTGCTTCTAGTCCAGGAGTGGGGGAGAGAGACAGTCTATGAACCATCAGTATATTGCTTAAATTCTAGGAGAGACGTATATGTATACGGGATGCCAGAGAGTCCTGGAGAGGAACAATTAGAGTTTCTCAAACCTTTGCCTAAGAATACCTGCGGATCTTCCTAAAATGCAGATTCTGATTTAGTAAGTCTAGGGTAAAGCCTGAGATTCTGGATACTCCTACACAATAGTAATGGTGCTGGTCTGTGGGCCACATTATAAGTAACAAAGATGTAGAGCAATGCAGTGATCATTGAATACCCGCAGCATGCCATGATCTGAGCCAGGAATTAGGATATAAAGATATTGGGACAAGTCCTTGTCCCTAAGGAGTCCATAAGTGGGGGAGAGAAGTAGATAAAAAGAAAATTATAATGTATTACAATAGAAGTGTGTAACAATAGAAATAAGAACAGAATGTTAGGGGATAAAAGGGAATGACAAACGGGAGTTTTTTTTTTACAGGCTTCACAAATGCACTGCTATTTGAGGTATGGTCTTCAATAATGATACTGCTTTGCTAGGCAGAGAAGTAAGTCTTTGAGGAGAGAAACAATCCCTGTCTCTGATGTGACTTTATCCATTTGAACATTTTGATGGAGGAGAATACATTTAAACGTTTTTCTATCAAAATTTTATTACTAGCTGTAGTAATGATGTGACAGATTTTATTAAGGGGACTGTACGGAATGCTTATTTCCAGACAAGTTAGGGGCCTGTTGGATTTTTAATCCTTTTTGAGAGTAGCACTTCTCTTCATTATTTGTTTCTCTTTCCTTTCATTCCCCAGGGGCCTGAGGCCAAAGCCATGTCCATGCCAGAGAACTGGAGGTCGGGCGGTGTGTACAAGCTGCAGTATACACACCCTCTCTGCGAGGGCGGCTCTGCTGCTCTCACCTGTGTGCCTTTGGGAAACCTAATTGTCATAAATGGTAATGGAGGGCTGTTGGTTTACCAACACTGACATGTTTCCAGACTATAGCTGCTTCAGTGATTGGCTCTCGTGATACAGTTGCATCTTTCTCAACTTTGTTGAGTCTCTAGGCCGCTGATACCCCGAGCCTGAATGGTTGTAGAATGTGTGGGTAGATGTTTAGGCTGGCAGCCTTCTCTCTCCGGGCAGCTGTAGCCTTCAGCTGTCTTAACCTGGCGATATTATTGCTGCGGGGAGTGTTGTGATCTTTGAAGTGAGATGATCTATTATATTCGAGCACTTTGTGCCTGTGGGTGACTTTTTTATGTTTATTTTTTTTAACAGAGATCTCGAACTGAGAGATGGTAAGAGGTGAGATTGAGCTGGGGTCACTTTTTATCCCATTTGGCGTCTCTGAACAGTAATGCATAGAAACACTGCTAAGCACTGCTTTAGTATGTGTGTGCTTGATCCCTCGACCTGCAGGAAAGTCACTCTGACTAGTTTCTTTTTCTAGTTCTCTTTCATATTGGCAGTTTCACAGGGATAGCAGTGCCTGTATTTGTTTGTATTTCATTTTAGCTCAGAGGCCACCCAGAGGTCTGTACATCTACCAGTGGTCTATGGAATAGTCTCATAATCACGTGTTCTAGAGAGCCATTTGAGTGACTAGAATCTTTCATTTCCGTTCTGTTCTGATTTTTGATTTCTTTATCCTTCAGCTAGCTAAGACAGCATGGTGGGGTTGCAATGGCTGCATTTTTGGTTTTTCAGTGCAGCTCACCTTTTGTGTAGCAAAGGCAGTTGCTTTGATGCCTCGTGGTTTCCTGTGCTCTGTGGCACTGGTTCCGCCAGGATGGATGAGTGAGGAGGCTTCACGGAACGTGTATTGCCGCGTGCACCTTGAGCGGCACCATGTTCTTCTGTTGCGTTATCAAGGTCCCTTCTGAGAGTTTGTTTGAAACATGTTTGTTCTGCAGAAATTTACTTTGAAAACCACTGGCATACATGGTCATGATCTTTGAAGTGAAAGGTGGTTCCATGTCCCCTGTGATGTAATTTGTGGTATTTCCTTTTAGTCACTAGATTCCTTGCGATGTTCCGTAAAAGTCTCAAATCTCAGCTTTACCAGTATTGGTGGTATTCTGTGCCGGTCAGAATGTGTCTGATGGCAGGTGGACTAGCCACGTGTCTTCAGCGACTCATCACAGTTAGCAAGCACGCCTTTCAGTTGGGTGTTCTTACACAGAGAGCCAGCAGTTTCTGCCTCCTTGCAGGCGTCCTGCCCCGTCACATCCTAATGTGCGAGGTTGAAGCTACCAACTTCATTTTTGCCTCCTTTTCTTACAAAAGCACTTTAACAACGCGTGTGATAATCTCTATTTACTAGTTTCAAGATATATAACATAAAGAGAATGGCTGTTAAATGTCTCAAAGATATCAGAGTTTCTGGTATTTTGTTCTTTTATTGCTCCTGGCAGATCAGTTACTTGCAGACTTGTGTGGCAGCCAGCCATTCCAGGCTTGGTTCTTTGAAAAGGAGCAGTGTGTCTTTAAGTCTTTTCCTTCGTCCAAGACCTCCTGCTCAGCACACATGTGCATGAGCACGTCACTGGCTCTTTCATGGCATGAGATGAAGTGAGCCTTTGTATATATGATTAAAATGGAACCTTCTGGTGATGTCAAGAATATTGGTCCTTTGGGTCTAGAAAGAGATGATGTTGTGAAAACTAGCAGGATTCTTTTAGTAAACAAGGCAAAACTCATTGCCAAGGATTAAATAAAAAAAATAAATGGAGTTTTTGGTGATCTTGTTGGAAATAATGGTTTTATTATGTTTAACTGTCTCCTATTAACCTTGCTGCATATCTTTCAATGAGTAATAAGCTGTTGTTGGTAATACCTACTGGATTTTATATAGAAGTGCATACTCTAGTTTTTAGAGGTGTTTGTTTTAGAGTGATTTTACTTGATGTGATGGCAGGTTTCCACTTTGGACTTTGTTGTGAGGGAAGGAAATGAGTGTAGAGCAGTTTGTATAGTGTGTCCTTCGTATGTTGGGACAGGGAAGTGCAAGCCCATGCTAGATAATGAAGGCAATTGAGGAACTGACAAAAATGATTTGTCTCTCTTTTGCTTATTTACAGCTATGCTAAAGATTAACAGTGAGCTCAGAAGTGTGAACAGATTGCAGCTGCTGCCAGAGTCATTTATTTGCAAAACAGAACCAGGTAACATAAGTATGGTTGGACTTTTGGGATGAAGCTTTGAGAGGTTTGCTTTAACAAAACTAAATGGTAATGTTTGAGTGACTGAAAATTTCTGAATGAGATTAAAGCAAATTTAAGACAGTGTTGCAGAGTATCTGTTTCTTTCCTGCTTTCCTCTTGGAACGCTGAATTATATTTATGCTGCCATTATGGAACGACACTAGTATGTAATTCATTACTTGTGATGCTGATGCTTCATAATTTATGAATTAGTCTTTGGATTTTTCTTGTATTTAATCAGTATGGAGAGGATCTGCATTTTGTGGAAACCATACAGTGCAACTTCATTATTGAAGATTATTGGAGGAAAAACTACTCAGAATGTTAGTTTAAACCAACATAGATTTGGTTGCTGTTTGATCAGATTTACCAAAAGTTTACATTCTAGGCATGGTTTTGCTTGTATTCTGTAAGATTACTAATAGATGCAAAGAAAGTTATCCTTTTTATTTTGTTAGTTAAATTCAAAGTATGAGAAGCAGGTAGGTGGTTGAAGGAGAGGAGATGGGTGGAGAGAGAACTCACACCTCTAAGCGCTTGTTTTGTGCTGGACACGTGCCTTGACAGATGCTATTCCATTTCATCTTTCTAGTAACTTAGGAGGGTTTTAAAATCTAAATGTGGTGTCATGGGTGGTGGCATTGGCAGTGGTGTCTTTAAGGGAAGGCTACCTAGAGCTTGGTCTTTGCTTTGAAGGCCTAGAGACTGACTCTTGTTAGTTTCCCGGGCAGATCAGGCTGAGTTCTGTGAACGTCCGTGAACCAAAACTGATGGGAAATGGGGACATCTGGATACATATTTATAATGATCTCTGGACATGTAACACCAGTGTTTCTTAACCTTCGTTTTCTTATTCATCCCTTGAGGAACCTTTGTAGAAAATCTGTCCCCCTTCCATTCTCTTCCATGAAATTTTAATACCATAGATATATAGTGTATTTTCATTTGTGTACTGTGGCCCTTTGGAGGGTCACAAACCAATGGTGTAGCTAGGGTTTGTTTTGTTTCTGCCTTCCGAGAACCAGTTTTTGTTCCATTGTGGGTGGCACTGCCCCTGTTGAGGAGCATGAACTAGACTGATAAATGTGTAAAGATGTCTCACCATTGGGAACAGGAAAACTTGAAATTCTTGGCCACAACACTGTTTCTCTCCACACTAGGGAGTACTTTGCTATGGGGGCTAGAAATACACTCCACTCCACAGTAGTGGAGGTTATTTATGCCCATTTTACAGATTAGGAGACAAGTCTAGAGGAGGTTAAAGTGCTTCAAAGTCACAGAGCTAATAAATGGTGGAATCTAGAATTGGAATAGATTTGACTCCTCAGACTATTTTTTAAAAATAACTTATAGGAATGTAATTTAGATTCGTATTCTTTTTTATTTTTTTTTAACCTTTATTTATTTTTGAGTGACAGAGCATGAGTGAGGGAGGGGCAGAGAGAGGGAGGGAGACACAGAATATGAAGCAGGCCCCAGGCTCCAAGTTGTCAGCACAGAGCCCAGTGAGGGGCATGAACCCACGAACTGTGAGACCATGACCTGAGCTGAAGTCGGACACTTAACCGACTGAGCCACTCAGGCGCCCCCAGATTCGTATTCTTTATGTGGTTTTTGTTAAATAAAGAGAAGGGAAGTGAAAGGAAGAAGAAAGTTCATAATGTTCTATTACGGTAAGTTTATGGGCTGTATTAAATATTTTTAATACAGTATTTTTATGTTGGGTAGGGTTATGCTGCCCATTTGACAAGTAATTTTAGTTACTTTATACGGTGGCTTCTAGAGTACCTAGTATATACTTATTTAAATGCATATTTGTTTTTATTTGTCTTTATACTTGTAAGTTTCTGATTACTTTTGTAATAGATAACCGAAAGAAAAAACTTGTTAAAAAAAATCATTTTTCACACTGAAAAGCCTTATCCAAATTGACTTTTTAGATATCTTGACATTTGACTTCAAGTCAAGATTGTAGTTCATGTGACAAGGATTTAAAGTTTAGCTGCATATCTTTTCTTGTTTGTTATCAGTCAGGTGATAGTGTTTTGTTTCTCAGCCGAGTACCTAGTTACAGAATGGGGCATAGGCACTGTGTGTGGTGCTTTACGTTAACCATTCTTTGGTGCAGGGTGGTATGTATCCCCTTGATATAGGTGAGCAAACAGGTGCGGATCCGAGGGTTCAAGGTCATACACCTGGTCACAGTACGGCGGAATTGCAGTGGGAACTTGAGGTCGTATTTGGCAGTGCTTCCCATGCTGCACTGTGCAAGTGAATCATCAGGGGATCTTATGAAATTGCAGGTTCTGATTAAGTAGGTCTGTGGTAGGGCCTGAGATTCAGTATTTCCGAGCGGTTCCCAAATGATGTCAGTTCTGGTGATCTGTGAGCCACACTCTGAGCAGCAGTTCAGTGGCTAAAGTGAGTGCGTTGGAGCCAGACTTAGGTTTGTACCCTGCCCTGCCACTTACTGTGAAGCTTTGGATGGGCTTCCATTATCTTGTCCTGTTTTTAAAATGGGGGTCAGAGTATGTCTCTCTTTTAAAAATTTTTTTTTTCAACTTTTATTTATTTTTGGGACAGAGAGAGACAGAGCATGAACGGGGGAGGGGCAGAGAGAGAGGGAGACACAGAATCAGAAACAGGCTCCAGGCTCTGAGCCATCAGCCCTGAGCCTGACGCGGGGCTCGAACCCACGGACCGCGAGATCGTGACCTGGCTGAAGTCGGACGCTTAACCGACTGCGCCACCCAGGCGCCCCCAGAGTATGTCTCTCTTAGGGAGAACCATTGATGTGAAAGAAAGCTTTGAAGAATGTTTAATACACTTGGTGACACTTGGTCGTCATGTGACAAATACTGTTCTACTTCCGCTGGGATCCGGAGAGTGGTTCCCCACTGTACCCCCAGTGCTGGACACTTTGGGCAGGTGCTCAGTAAATCATGCTGTGTGTACAGCTCTCTCACCAGTTTTTCTTACTATAACTGTAGTCTGTGAATTATATAGGTTGGGTACAGCTCTATTAATTTGAAATCATGAGATTTTTATCTTTACATCTAAGATTGAGTTTTCAGAGCCACACAGCATATAGTACTTCTACTAGAGACTTTGGTTCACATCTGTCTATATAAGAATTACTTATGAAAATTTACAACTTTGATTGGTTTGGCAGAAGTAAAGGTTACCATTTCAAGTTTTGCCACTTGATTTTGTTCTGATTTTTCATTAAAAAAAAATACTCTAGGGGAAAATGTGGCCAAGATCTACAAAGATCTTCAGAAGCTCTCTCGTCTCTTCAAAGACCAGCTGGTGTATCCTCTTCTGGCTTTTACCCGACAAGGTGAGAGACGATAAATGATCACAGGTCAGATGGCTGGAAAGAATAGTAAAAGTTTATGTCTTATGCTTGTGACCCTGACATATGACTCTTGCCTCTTTTCCCCTAGTGAAGTTATGTTCTTTTAAAACTAAGCTTTAATGTTAATTCCTCAAGTGTTATTTACTTCTTGTTTGTATTTCGACAACATTTTGGGCATGTCTTTGTTGTAACTCTTCTTCCAGTGTATCATAAGTGTTGATATGCATTCTTTCCACCTCCTAAGGTTTTAGATACCTTGGAAGCAGGGACTATGTCTTAGCCACTTTTGTATTCTCATGGCCTAACATAGGGTCTGGTCCATAATAGGTGTTTGCCAAATATATAAGTAACGTATAGTCTGTAAATTAGGTCTCAGTTTGTTTTTTTTTTAACATTATTTCTTGGGGTTCTATGCTAACTCCTTTGGATATTTACATGGATTTTTATTTAGTGCTAACAACTTTGAAGGGATTTCATCCTCATTTTATAGATGATGAAACTAATTCAGTGAGGTGTATATTTCATTCAGAATTGTTATGTTGGCTCTTGTTTGTGGTGTAATAAATATGTTAAAATCTCAATGACTTAAAGCACTTATTTCTCATTCATATGCATGCTGTGTGTGTGGGGGAGTGAGTTTTGGCTGAAGGAATAGTCCTTCTTCAGGACATGCTCTCCTTGGAGCAGAGGGAAAAGAAGGCCCAGTGACCGAGCCACACGGTGGTTCTTACAGCTTTTTTGCTCAGAAATGATACGCTACATCCACTCACATTTTATTGGACGCAACAAAATGGCCAAGCCTGATGGCAGTGTGGCCGTCAGGGGAAGCGTAATTATAAGCTAGAAAATGAGAATCCTCATCTACCACAATCCCTTAGCTGGAGAAGAACTTCAGGTTTATACATATAGATATGTGGCTTTTATTTGCCATTTGTATGTAGGGATCTTGTATTTTAAGTGTCCAATTGCATGTGCCTAGGCTGCTGTCACCATAGTTTTCTTCTTCATGTGCCGGTGATGGAAGGGAAATATGTGAATTTTAAAATGCTTTATTGGATTTTGATGGTCTTAGCTAGTGGAGATTAGTATCACAGATATTTAAAGGAGCTAATAAATCTCATTTGATTATATGTTATTATTTTTCCTTCTTGGCTTGCCTCTGATATTTATCTACCTCCCTTTTTTTTCAGCCTGCTAGACCTCAGAGAATAGTAATTGTGAACACTTGAGTGCTTGTTATGTGCCAGGCATTGTTCTAAGCACTCTGTATATATTCACACACTTAATTTTCAACTGCATGAATTAGGTAGTACTCCTAACCCATTTTACAGGTAAGGAAATTGAATGGTAGTTAAGTAATCCAAGTGTCCAAAGGCACACAGCTAATAAGTAGCAGTATTGGGAACCAGTTTTAAAAGCCAACAAAGAGGGGCGCCTGGGTGGCGCAGTCGGTTAAGCGTCCGACTTCAGCCAGGTCACGATCTCGCGGTCCCTGAGTTCGAGCCCCGCGTCAGGCTCTGGGCTGATGGCTCAGAGCCTGGAGCCTGTTTCCGATTCTGTGTCTCCCTCTCTCTCTGCCCCTCCCCCGTTCATGCTCTGTCTCTCTCTGTCCCAAAAATAAATAAACGTTGAAAAAAAATTTTAAAAAAAAAATAAAAGCCAACAAAGCATCCATTTTCTGTAATTGAATACAGAAGTTTTTGTTGCATTCATCGAATACTGCTCGAAACAAAGGCCATTGGCTAATATTTGGAAGTTGTCATAGCGATTCATTGGTTTGTATGAAAAAGTATTTGTCTTTCCCCTAAAACAGAGGGAATAAGGGACTTAGTAGTAGAGCAATATAGCCAACCTGGGGTTAAAATTTTGTTGTAGGTGATGCATACTTGGGTAATTGAAACTACCATCTAATTTGTCACTTAGGAACAAGTTGGTAACTTCCGTTAAATATGTGGGGAAAGCCAGATGTTCTTTACTCACTACCTGTTCTCTTTTTCTTTATAGCGCTGAACCTACCGGATGTATTCGGGTTGGTGGTCCTGCCGTTGGAGCTGAAACTGCGGATCTTCCGACTTTTGGATGTTCGTTCTGTTCTGTCTTTGTCTGCAGTTTGTCGTGATCTCTTTATTGCTTCAAATGACCAACTGCTGTGGAGGTGTTTATATCTGCGGGATTTTCGAGGTAATTGCCACAGTGACACGTTAACAGGAAAAGGACTCGTTCTTACTGAGGTCTGAATTACTCAGCTTGCCAAAAGTTTTTAGTTGTAGGCTCTTTGTTTAAGAGTTTCAAGTAATCATAACTTACAGCCTTTTTGGAAGGAGATGCTAAGCCTCATATACTTGTGCCTATATTCCGAAAACTTCGCGTTCATTTCTGTGTGTTGTATAATGCAAATATCCCAGTAGACTGAGAATAGTTCAGGATAGAAAAACTTCAGGTTTATTCGCTCTCTTAGACCATCCTCCATATCTGACTTTGCAGTCTGGTGTATTTCTAAACAACGTCCATGGCTGTGACCAGTGTATCAGTTAGGAGCGCCCTGCTTGCTACCCTGTGGTAAATTGCTGGGGAAGCTTTATTTCTGTATAGTCACATTTATGATGACCTGGTGATTGTTGCAGCAGTGATGGCAGTGGGACTTGGGGATGGAGAGAAGTTACCCCAAATGTACAAGCACTTTGCCTTTTGTATCAAGATTTCTGGATAGAAGCCTAGTGCCCGACTGTAGAATTTCTTTTCTGTGTATCAGTGTTTTGTTTTGTTTTTTAAACTGGTTTGACCCTAGAGTGGGTCATGAAATCAATATATTGGGTCATTAAAAAAAAAAATCAGTATTTTTTTTACAAAATAGGAGTAAACTTCTATTTCGGTATATGTATATATAAGTATATACTGCATTGCATTGTGAAAAAACACTGTGGTTCACATCAATGTGTTCACATTGATGTGCTATGTATAACATCTTGGGAACTGTAAAAATCTTGGTAGATCCCCTTCGTTGTTGTTTTTTTTTTTTTATAAGAATATTAAGTAGAGTCATTAGGATTGTTAAAGACTTTTTTCCTTTAAAACCTCAGATAGAAGCAGTGAATGATCTGGTCTTTCATATTCCTCCTTGATTCCTCTATGCCTCTGCAGAGTTCAAATGTTATTTTGTTCTAGGAGGCAGCAAGTGTCATCTCAAATTAAAAAAAAAATTATAGTCGAAATGAAAAGACAAAATGACCAAAGTATATAGAAGAACGAACCAAAAAACAGGCTATGATAAAAATAGGCATAAAAAACCTTTTTACTTACATACTCAAATTTGGATTTAAAATACAGTCAGTCTCTCTCTCATTTCCAGATTATGGTCCACAAGCTCATCTGTAAGCTGTTCAGGTCTTATAACGAATCTCCCTATGGATGTAACGTCATAGGCCCGGAGCTTTTATAAAATCTTCCTTCCATGCCCATATAATAGCTTCTGGGAAGATATCTCTTTTATCTCAACTCTTCTTAGGTTTAAAAAAATTTTTTTTTTAACGTTTTTATTTATTTTTGAGACAGAGAGAGACAGAGCATGAATGGGGGAGGGTCAGAGAGAGAGGGAGACACAGAATCCGAAACAGGCTCCAGGCTCTGAGCAGTCAGCACAGAGCCCGACGCGGGGCTCGAACTCACATACCGTGAGATCGCGACCTGAGCCGAAGTCGGACGCTTAACCGACTGAGCCACCCAGGCGCCCCTTCTTTAGATTTAAGTTGAAGAGGTTTCTCTTTCCTCATTTCATGTATTTCAAGTAAATGAGTATATTAAAAAATACTTAGTTGTTGCAGTCATACTGATGAAAGTTGGGAGAAAACAACCCAAATAAGAGAACTTCAAGTCAGCTTTACCTCCAGTAACAATGGGCTGCGATACAAAGAGATGGTCACCCAGTGTCGCAGAGATTTGAGGTTAGAAGGAGCTGTCACTCTCAGCTGAGACTGGCGGAGGAGGCGCAGTGCAGCGTGGGGCAGTTGAGGAAGAGATAGCGGCCACCCGGTCCTCCATATTCCTGAGGGCGTCACCAATTGGTGTCCCCACGAGCACAGAACGGCAGCAGCTGCCTTCTGCCAGCAAGAGAGGTCTGCGTCGGTGCAGGAGGGTTACAAGGGATGCAGCGTGTTGTGAACAAAAGATTCCTGTTCCTGCGTGTGCGTCACGTGTAAGCTTCAGTTTCCTTAGGTCAGAAGCAAGATTGCTGTTTAACCTGGATGAATGAAGCATTTTAAATTCTTATTTTTTGTTTTTTCTTTGTAGATGGTACTGCGAGAGTTCGAGACACAGATTGGAAAGAAGTAGGTATTTTTAAATATCAAGGCTAATGTTAGTATTAGCGCCGAAGCAACTAGTGAATTAATACATTAAGGCCATGTTATCATTTTTGTTATGATGTAATGAAATTTGCTTTTATTAAATTTATTGCTAATTTTCAGAAAGTGAAAATATTTTTAACTTTCATCTTAGACTCAGTCCTTATTTTCTTGTGTAATTACACAGGAAAAGAAGTCTTATTAACACAGCGATTGTTTTTTGACTTTACTTAATATAAAACATTCTTTCTTCCTCTGTTGCAAAACAATTTTTAAGCTGAGTTTTTGTGAGAGTGGTCTTCAGCTGTCCAGCTAGTTGGAACAGTGCATGCTTGTTTTACGTACAGACGCCTACTCTAAAAGACATTGACAGGACTGAGAAACGGGGTGGACTAGAGAAGGGTCCTCAAATGTGTCCTGAGTGAACAGCATTGTTCCTTAGGAAGATGTTCTGTCCTCTGAAATGGGCTTCTATTTTTTGTTGCTGTTTAGATTGAGATCCTTTAGGAACATGATTCAGGTGAAGAAGTGAATTTAAATGCTGCTTCCCTTCCCCCCAGTACCTTAACTTTATATTATGTGGCCTGATTTTCTCAACAGATATTTAAATTTTCCACTTTCAAGAAAGGTGGGCCTAAAATTGCATATTAGCTCAAGAGCTGTCGATTGCAGCCTTGAAAGCACATTCCACTCAGTTATCCTTCCTTTGGATTGAGTATTTCCCTGAATTGGCACAGTTGTTCAGTTGCACTGTGGTTAAAGAGTACAGTTCATTCGGCATTGTGTTCAGAGCTACTGCCTTAGTCGTGCAGATGGAAACTGGTAAAATTTCTGTTGTGTGCACTGGTGTCTTTGCTCCATAATGTGGGAAGAGGAAAGTGTAGATAAAGCAGTGGAAGCAAATTGGAACTTTGGGGAAACATCCAGATCGCTTACCATATCTTGTTCTTGTGTTTCTACAGCTGTACAGGAAGAGGTACAAACAAAGAAAAGAAGCTCAGAGAGGGCGGCATGTGATGTTCATTCCATCGTCGCCCCACCCCCTCCCATTCTACCCCAACCCCTTGCACCCCAGGCCTTTTCCTCCCAGCTCGCTCCTTCCTCCGGGAATTATTGGTGGTGAATATGATGAAAGACTAACCCTTCCTTATGTCGGGGACCCAATCAACTCACTCATCCCTGGGCCTGGGGAGACACCCGGCCAGTTCCCTCCACTCAGACCACGTTTTGATCCAGTTGGCCCACTGCCAGGACCTAATCCCATCTTGCCAGGGCGAGGTGGCCCCGGTGACAGATTTCCCTTAAGACCCAGTAGGGGCTGGCCCACCGACAGCCGGCTGCCATTCATGTGATTGATTTGTAATCTCACTTCTGGGGCTTGTTTGGTTTTTGTTTTTTAAAACTGCAGATGTCATCTTGTTGGGGGTGCTGATCTCTAGTGTGTTCTGAGTGCCATGGTGAGGAACGCACACGGTGGCCTTTCGGTAGATATATCTAAAGCTCCAGGGGTGGTAGGGCCCAGAGGTCACTGTATGACCAGGTTGGCTTTGGAAATAGTTGACTACTGACCTCCCCCCCCTCTGAATTTCCCTCTAGGATGAAGGTTGTTCACTGATAATGTTCTGCACCAGATTAAAAAAAATTAAGTATAAATTATATGGCAATCTTGACTTTTATTACAGAAAGATAATGGGATAAAATATTCAGAACAGCTTCACAACATTACTTGGCAATTTCAGAATGATAGAGAACCTATTCAGGGTCATCAGATTGTTGCACTTTTTTTTTTTTTTAATTATTTTTTAGTTACACCCTTTCTTCAAACAAAACTGTTTGCGGAAGCATGATTTATAAAATGAAGCCAAGCTAGGGTGGGTGCTTAGGCACCCACCTGCTCAACCCACCTCCTTTCTCTGCAGCTCTTTCCTGGGCTCTGTGATGAAACTTCTGGGCTCTGAAGCAGCATTTTTGGACAACTGTGGGGTTATGGGGACTCTTGTTTCTGGCTGCTTCTGGAGCGGAGTTACGATTTTTTTCCTTGTGTTTGCAACGCTTGGTACCTAATTTGTAATCTAAATAGATGACCTCTTTCAACAAAGTTTTCCTGCTTTGAGTGCTGGTCAAGTACTTGTTCTTCAAAGTCGCCTCTTAACTACTCTATTGGAAGAACATTTTGCTTTTAAGGTTTAAAATACACAAAATTCAAGATTTATTCTTCATACAAGAAAAAGGCCAAACACAAATGTCTTATCATACAGTATAGAAACATGCTATCGTGACAAATAAAAATCTGAATCGCAACCCAGGAATAAAACACTATTATATCTGCAGACAATATTTAGGAATATTGCCGATGTCTTCCTCCTTTTTAAAAAATCTGTTTTGCATATAAGGAAATGGCTTGGAATGTTATATGCTGCAAGAATATTTTGAGTCCTACATACACGTGAAGGTATTTTTTTGCTACACATATAGTCTTTATTTCCATCACAGTGAAGAAAATTCAGTCAGTACTAGGATTTTCTAGAGGCCATGTCACCCTTAGTAGCTTACTGTGTATAGGCAAAGGATTGGGGCTTTGACATTTCTTTCTGTGGTATTTTGTAATGTCTGAGCTGTAGGACAGCTTTTTAAACAGTGTCCACTAGATGCTGTGTGGCTTTAACTGGGTCTGGGCTGAAAGAATCACCTGAAGCTTCGGTGGGCCCAAATCCACCCTTCTCTACTTCTACATCCCTCTGTGGCCATCTGTGCTGTTAGGTTTGCACTGTGTGGGTATGTGTGCGGTGGGAGGATGTAGTGATGACCAGAAGCACCAAATCCTGTAAAACAATGAGTCTGCCAAGTGTCCTTTTTGAATGGTTCTCGAGAGGTCTGGGAACTGCTGGTGTCCCATGGATGTGGGTGCTCCTTTCTGACACCTCACCTGGGACTTCCTGGCCAGTGTGACACATCTCTTAATTGAGAGTGTGTGCCACACGCCTAAATCCTCCAGCAGTTTGTTCTAAATTCTTAAAACAGCCTCAAAGCTTTTCCTCTTGGACACCTAAAGTTATGGTTAGAAGCTTGTAAAACCCTACATCCTCTTCATTAGGCTGAGACTGTGGAGCTTTATATATTGCTGGTGCGTCACGAGCATGAAGTCATGGTTTGGCAGCAGCACGTCCCCCGCGCGACTCTGACCATCGCTGAGAATGTTGTGGAGGCAAGCTCGTTGAGAGCGCTGCGGTAAGCGTTTTGGGAAGATGCGGTTCTCCATTGGCTTGTAGCCTTAATGGCTTTCTGTGGCCCCGTGTTTTTCCCTTTAGTTATTTTTATTAATGGGAGATTGCCCTTTTTCTCCCCCTTCTCTTTATAAGTGAAAGCTATGGTTTGGCAAGGCTGGACATCAAATCATGGGAGGTATCCTCTCCTTCCAGTGTAAGGTTTTGGGATTCCTCATGTAAAGGCAGTTGCATTCTGTCCTCTCTCTGTCTGGCTTGGTGCTCCAATTCCTGCGATCACTGCTTAGCCCCGTATCTCTGTAATTCTTATTCTGATGGAGCTGGACACTCCTCCCTCTGCTCCCTGTGCTGGGGGCCCAGGGCCAAGGTCGGCTTTCCTCCTTCCCTGGGCAGTAGCTGCCAAGAGCCAACTTGCTTCTGCCCTAGACTCCATAAAGACCGTAGACAACAAATACTTCAACTATAGGAGTTTGGAAACGGAAATTACAAGCAGGAGGACCAATCAAAACACAAACGATGGGAAACAAAAGGGATTTTAAAAGATTCACGCACACGCACTGTAGAAGGAGCATTCAGTTTTTGATTGGTCTTCCCTTCGAGGGACACCCCCCTGACTTCAAGAACCATGTCCCAGCCATTTTCATCTTTCTCTCAGCCGGGGCCAGTCGAGAAAGAGAGAGAGCTCTGAACCCAGCATCTAAGAGTCCCAGTCTCATCTAGCTGGGCTGCATATTCTGTCTGCGGAAACACAAGGGAGGCTCTGTGCCCTTTATGCATTGTGTTTGGTTAATGGACCGATCTGACTTGCTTGTTGCCCAAACTTCCAATTTGTCTCCAACCAAACCCCAAGTGGCTGCCTTCTCTTAGAGTCTTAATACTAGACTCAAAGTCTGAATTTTATCAGTGACTGTGTGGGAGTCGGGGATAGCTTTTGACATCTGTCAGTACAGTTAGTAACCAGCGGCATGCTCTCCAGGATAAAGAAAAACATGCGGTATGAGAAAAGTGCTCTTAGACCCTGAGCTACTCCTCCATATAATTCAGCCACTGCTTGGATCTGCCAGGCTGACTTAACCGGCCTAAACCCTGACTCTGACCTTTCACCAGCGCTAAGCACTGAAAGCAGAACGAACCACTGACCTGCTTTATGTAGCTGAATAAAACACCAGCTGTCTGCTCCCCAGACCTGGGAGGGGCCGGGTTCCGAAAGGAGGTGGTGTGTCTGTGGGCCAGGGCTGTTTCTGAAGCTCTGGTGTGTGCTGTGTGCCGTGTCTGGAAGGGGCTCCTTGGCCCTGGGTCTTTGCTGTACAAGGGGCCCTGGGTCTTTGCTGTACAAGCCTTGGCATCGTCCTGGCCTGCAGGCCACAACCTCTTCTGACTGAGGCTGATGTTTGGCTCCCAGCCGTAGTGGCCCTGAGGCTCCCCACCTCCATGGTCAAGTGCACTACAGGGGATGCCTCATTGGCCCCCCTGATTCTGCTCACCTCCGTTCCTTTTCACACTCAGTTTAGAATCCGAGACCTCTTTCTGAGGCTTAAAAAAACAAAACAAAACAAAAAAACGCCGTAGATTTTCTTCAGTTTATCTCATTTTACTATTATATGGGTTCACTTCTGTTCCTGGGCAAGTGACTTCCTCACACTGACACTCTTGTAGACAGCCCTTTTCTCCAGCCTGAACACTTTGTGTACATTTCATTAGTTTCCTAGTTTTCTAGGAAGGCCAACCTAAAACATGTCCTGAACACCTGTGTGCCGAGGAATGTGCCCTGTGCTTGACTCACGTAGCAAATTCACGAGGTACCCACGCCGGCTTGCCTTCCCCGTGAACTCCTTCCACTGCAGACTCCGATGAAAACTTCAGAGGGTAGCTGGTGTTTAGGCTCCTGGGCTGTGCCACTGTATTTGTTACCATGTGAGTGAAGGCCCTTCCTCCCTGACCCACCAGCAGGGACTGAACGTCAGGAGGGAGTGCGGTAACGATGGAGAGAACACAGAGAGGCCATGGAAGAGCGAGGATATGCATATTCAGTGTCCCTGGAAAGCTGACATCACACCTAATTAAACTACAGCACCATCTTGCCATGGTGAGAGGGGGAAGACCTGGACCGAGTTATTTTCTCTGGCTGGTGGCAGTGTCCCCTGAAGCTGCATCCTTAAATCCCCGTTCATTGTGCTACACCCTTGGCACCCATGGTTCAGCCTCACCAAGTCAGCCTGGAGGGAAAATGCCAGCCTTTCTTTGGGTCAAAGTTGTGCAACAAAGCAAAAACCAAACCACCTGTCAGAATCTCTATAGAGTGACTCCTTTATTCCCTTCTTTTTGCCCTTTCCCATTCAAAAATGTCACAGCTATTAAAGGCTAAGTGTTTGGAAGGAACACGTGTTAGCCTATGTGTGGCCAACAGTCCATTTTGGGGGTCTATGGTCTCTGTAAGACCATTCCTGTTCTCTACATTCATACTCAGACCAGTGGGGAAATTGACTCAAATGTGCCGGTTATAAACTAGTGTTATGTCATGGATCACATGTGTGCACGGTTATAAATATCAGGATGCCTGGTCTGATTAAAAAAAAAAAAAAATCTTGTGCTACTGTAGTGGGAGCATCTGGGAGTTACAGCTTGAATGTTGAGAAGTTTTTAGGGACAAGGGACAGAATATAAGAAAGTGGGAAAATGTAAGCCGCGCAGTCACTGTTGGCAGAGCCACGAATTTTTGCTCAGCGAAGGAGTGGGTGCCTGGCTGTAAAGAGCCCACACCAATACTGATCTCATGCAGGGGGCCTTCCCACTGAGCTCAGCTCAGGGCTGCTGGTCTAACTTCAATTTGCATGCAAAATGCTTGGGGAGACTGACAAAGACAAGGTTCTGGGCCTTATGACCAGAATTCTGCCTCCTTTGCTCTGAATTGAAGCTAGCTGTGCCCACGCTTTGAGAAACTTTGTCCAGCCTATGACCACTCTGTTGTGTGTTTCCAGTTGTGTTTTATTACTATGTGAGAATCAGGTGACCTTGACTTTTTCCGACCTTAATCTCCAATGTACAAGAGCAGTGGCTGCCTTAGGTGTTTTCTATGCTCTTGATCTCCCCAAACATGCCTCCATGACATCACACCTTGCCCTATAAGTTGTCCCTGCTCCTTTATTCAGAATGCAGCTCCACGCCACGGACACGTTCATTGTTACCTCCCTCTCTCCTTCTCTGTGACCAGGGAGGGAGAGACATGTCTCAAGTCGCAATGTAGGCTGTAAGGGGAGAGTGTGGTGGCTACGTTCAAATGTCCTGGGCTCTTTTTGGGACCAGGAGGCTGGTTCTGGCACCTACAATGTTTCTAGCACCGGGCATGTGGTGATTTGGGGGCAGCCCTGCACCCCATCTGGTCATGGGAAGCAGTCCGATGTAGGGAAAAAGCTTTGGAAAGGGAGTCAT